ATATCCATCTATTGGCATACGATAGTTATCGACCTTATATGATTATTAGGCGTGTTTAAAGTACAAATTAAAAAAAAACATTTTTTTGAGAATTTTTTTAAACTTTAATGTCGATTTACTCAAAATTTTATTTTTGTGGCATATCGAGTTACTGCAACAAGCCCTTCATATATTTATCAATTTCTGTTAAAATGTTTTAGATTTAACACATCTTTAATATGTATGTATATTCACTCTTCCGAATTGTGAATATTTTTTTTTGCATTGACTCTTTGTCGAACTAATGGGTAGGTGGTATGTGCACGAAAATGAATAAAATAACAACAATAAAAATTGTTGAAAGAAATATAATAAACTTTGCTATAAGAAATCATCAACTACAACGGCAACAACAACAAAAATGAAACCGACATTAAGTTATTGTACCTGTATAAGTAAACTAAAATACAACAATTATTTACCTACATTAGGGGGAGACCCCAAATTTTGTCGAAATTCGGAACTAAAATAAAAGAAATTGTTTCTCAAAATTTGGGTTATCAAATTTCTACATACATTTTTTAAATAAAATAACTAAAAGATGAAATAATTAGGATTTTAAACTAATTACATATTTACTGCAAGACTGACATAATCCGAAATTCCGGTCTTTTGAACTGAAGGCTACAAAACACGCGTAATTTATTAACTTTAAAATATTTTGTGAACTTAAAAACTAAAACACATGTTTTTACGTATATAAGATAAATAAGAATTAAATTTCAATTTAGATGAGACACATATTAACCTCTACTATCAGAATCTGGTTAAATTTTTCAAACCCCTTGATTTGTTTAAAAGTTATTTAAAAAATAGTAAGATGTTATTCAACATTTAAAGCCATTTTTCTCGAAATTACTTGTTTTTGTTTATGCCAGTCTTGTGGTAAATGAGCGTTATGTACATATAGGGTAATTTCAAAAAATTTCGAACAAAAAAGTTGGATTTTGAACATGACCCTCTCCGATTTCGAGAAAATTCGGTACACACATTCTTCGTATAAATACGAAATTTGAAGTTCTCCAAAAGTTCTAAATTCGTTACGATTTAGATTTTATCGAAGTTCAAAGATAATATTTTTTAGGACTTTTTTCAACAAGCATTAAATTTGATATCGTACGTTTTCTAAACTAACTATCCAAGTTAGTGCCTAATAAAAGCCTATATCTTGTAGTTTATCGTTACTATTATTAAAATATTATAGTTTTAATACAAGGATAATTATATTCAAAAATGTCCTTGAGTGATGGATATCTCAAAAAAGGTACCTTCCATTTTTGTATTCCTTCACCAAAAGTAGCTTATAGTGTCATAAGCAAAACATAAAAAAAAATTAGAGTGGGACAACTCAAGAAAATCATCTTTTAGTAAAATTATATAATATATAAATATATAAATTTAAAAATTTATAAGTTTTTGTTAATAAAATATTCATTTTTTCTTTGAAAATTTTCAGACTTTTATTATGATTATCAAGAAATAAAATTATAAATCTTGAAATTTGTATGGAATTGATGTGAATTATTTAACTAAAAGTTGATTTACTTGAGATCCCCTCATTGAAATTTTTATATTTTATTAAGAACACTATAAGCTTTTTTGGGTGTAGAAATAAAAAAATGGAAGATACATTTTTTGAGATATCCTTGAATGAAGGACGTTTTTCGATGTTTTCTTGTGTTAAAACTATAATATTTTAAATAAAATATGATCAAACTGAAAGACAAGACTAAAAAGGTTAAAATCGGATAAATAGTTTAGAAAATATATAATATCAAATTGTATGCATGTTGAAAAAAATCTTAAAAATTTAAACCTCAATTAAATAAAAAATTAAATTTTGGAGAACTTTAAACTTCGTATTTATACAAAAAATGTCTGTACCAAGTTTCATCAAAATAAAGGTGAGGTATAAAACCTGATGAAAAATTTTGAAATGTTATAATGATGTTTTCGGATACTTATCAAGAAAAATTGGAATCCACATAAATACATACATATTCATATGTATATTCTATTGCGTCGTATGACGTTTTTAATTCGATGATATGTTCTTACCTGACTGATAATATTCAATTACTTCAAAAAATGTAATAATCCAAAAATCAAAGACCTCTATTTATATTCAAAGATATGACCATTTCCTCGTAATGACAATTAACATTTTAGTTGTCTAGTAGTAATGACCAAATATCTTTGGATTCTTTATACTCTACTAACGGTATTCCATCCTGGTCCACATATTGAGGACAAAACGTTTTAGTATTATGATGTTTAAAATTTTAACCGTTCAATGGGGAACCAAAGAATTCTGCTTATTTTTGACAAATTCAAATCTGAAACCAGGTCATTTCAGTTTCATTGAGTAAAAATTAATTTATAACTTTATTCGAACAAACAGAACAGTAATTTAGGCCATATCATGGAAATATAAATGACTCGTGAAGAAATACTTTATTTAAGGTCCTGCAATGGACCGATCCTCACAGATTTTGTCGGAGTCGTTGAATTTGTTTTTCACATAAGACTTATTTACCGAAATTCATTATAGTAGTTTTCCTGGATAGAGCTATCTAGCCATTCTATCTATGCCACTCTTCTAAAAGAGCGTTTTGTGAGCTCATCGTATGTTTTAAAACAATCTCAATATTTTTCGCGCGTTATAATCAGCAAGTTATACAGCATGCGTAATTTCGATCATATTTATGTTTTTAGAGGCTACTATTATTTTAAAGATCAACATTTTAGGGTTTTTATTTTTTGATATATTTTTCTTTCATTGTTGATGAAATTTATTTCATTTGAATTTATTTTCGTTCTACAAAAAACGAAATACAACGCTGATCAGCTGCCAACGCGTCAAAAATTTTAAAGTTTATGAACCTTTCGCGACAGACCTGTTAAAAAATACAATGGGTTTAAATGAAAGTATTACATTTCAACTTTTTTTGACAGAAGCCTGTGTGTTTGTGTAATTCCACTTTAACTCTTAATTAGTGTTCGATCATCGAAAGTGGTCCAAGAGGTTGATTAATCACCTAACTATCTTTAAATGCTGAGTGGGTAGTTTCAAAAATTTATTTATTTTACCTATTTTTACATTTTTATTATTTTAAGAAAGAAGATGAATCATCATTTAGTTTAATTTTATTATATTCAATTAAAATATAAAATGATACTGCGAAATAAAATGAAAAAAATCTTTAAAATATAAATCATGAAAATAAGATATTTAAAGCGAAATATTTTACTTTAAAACTGGTGTAGCCAAACACTTTAGATACTCGTGTATTTCACATTTAATATATTTTAGTACAACTTTTATGTTGAAGACCTTTGAATACAATTGGCTTTTCTCTACTTTTTTCTAACAAAGGGTTTTTGTTTGGTAAAGATTTAAAAACAGAAAAATTAATAGATGTGTCTTTAGCAATCCCCCCAATGATTTATGGGATTTTCAATATGAATGGCATAAAAAGGTTGTGTTTTCTTTTGTAAGACGTACAATACAAACCAAAAGTTTGTATAAAAAATTAAAGACATTTTTAAAGGCATGTATTTAATGAAGTAATATGTTTTTTTTTGTTTAATAATTTCTTTTGCTAGAACTTAGTAGTCGTCAGGTTGAAATAAAAATACATACTTTTATAGTTCTTTTTTTTAACCAACAAAACTTTCTGGTAGTTAATATATAAGTTAAATATTTGTTCAGAATTTTATTTTACACCACTATAGTGGGGAGGGTATAATGCGTTTGGCTGATGTTTGTAACATCCAAAAATATTAAAGTGTACCAATCGGCTCAGAATCACTTTCTGAGTCGATTTATCTATGACCGTCCGTCTGTCTGTCTGTGTGTCCATGTAAACCTCGTTCGTACGCTACAGGTCGCAATTTTCAATATAATTGAAAAGAATAGGCCATTATTAACCCTCTGTTAAAAAATCTCTTTTATTGTCAACAAATTGTTAAAATATTTCTGAATTAAGGTAAAAATCAAAATTGATGCTTTATTATTACCACGCTCGCTTACAAATAGGGAGTTAGATAAGTACTTACTACAATCGCCTGCAAATAGGGAGATAATTATGTAGTTTTGTTTCTGAGAAAAAATGTCTACGAGGATACGCCAAATGCGGCTATTAAATACGAGTAAGCTATGAAATTCGACATAAATAAGTTTAAGTTACAAGACAAAATCTCTCTGCCAAATTTTATGAGGATCGGTTCATTATTGACCCTACCCCCCATATAAGGTCACAAAAATACTTTAACGCTCATTACTGTATTAAAAATACGAGTATAGCGATAAAATTCTACACAAATATGTTTCATACAAGCCGAAATCTCTCATATTTTATCAGTATCGATCCATAATTGACCCTACCTTCCATATAAGGCCCCCTTCAGCAAATAATTTCAACGCTAACTGTCTTAAAAATACGAGTACAGTGAATAAATTCGACATAACTAAGTTTATTACAAGCCAAAATCTCTCTACCAGATGTTATGAAGATCTGTTCATATTTAATCCTATCCCCTTCAGAAAATTACTTTAACTTTTATAGCAACAAAAATCCCTCTAAAGGCCCTATTCAAAAAATCAAAAATTCAACATATATCAAATAAATGAGAAGTCCTTCCAAAATTTACTTTTATTTTACGGCACAAAATTTGATGGTGGGTATAGAATATTCGGCATGGCCGAATTTAGCACTCTTCCTTGTTGAATCTCTAGTTGTTCTACGAATTTTTGGAATACTTATTAGTGATCTATTTGGACTAAGTATTATTTTTGTTATGTTAGCATTTTCCGGGTATTCAGTTTAATAAAGATTTAATTTTTTATGAATTATTGCGTGATGACACTGGCTATATTTCCTTTTATATTAATTTTCTATACCTTTATTTTGAATATTGAATATGACGACCCAAGTTTAAAAATCGAAACATTCACTTACCTTTGACTAACGTCAATATACCCAGAGGCATTACTAGAACTGCAACCATTAAATCTGTTATTGCCAAAGACATGAGAAAATAATTTGTGACATTTTGCAAACGTCGTTCCCATGCAATGGCCAGACACACCAGAATGTTACCGGCAGCAGTGCCAATCACAAGTATCAAAGCTAATAAGGCCCAATAGTTGTTGTTTAAATGGGTATTGTCCAAAAATAAAGTTGTGGAAGAAGGAAATGTTTCAGTAGGTGCACTATTTGATGTTAAGGTGGTGACAATAGAGGTAGAAGTTGTTGTAATCGCACTGACGTCGGATCCAACAGATTCTTTGTAAAGTAGATTGTAATCGTAGTCGAATGTAGTAATGTTGCTATCAGTATTATCACTATTTATAAATATAGTGTCAATCTCTTGTTGCTGATACGTTTGGCCGGGTCGTATCAAAAATGATGTTTGTAGTTGCAGCTGGTATACTTCACTAGAGCTGGTAACCGTGTTTAACTGCCATGTATTGCTGATATTTCTGTTTCCACTGAATATCTCATTAACTTGGTTAGTTTTGAAAATGTCATCCATGTTATTTTGACAATAATAAATTTATTCGACACATTTATTTTTAAATTTATACAAATCGATCGGTTATTACTCAGGATTTTCTTTTAATTCATTTTTAGTTTCACTTTATTTCCGATTCTAAAATTTCATTCTTAAATAACTTCCTTATAAAATATTCTAAAATTAACAAAAGTAGAAAACCGTTATTCGCCACTGCACTGTACTCTCAGTACATTTTGCTTATTTAGAAAACGGATATTATGGTTTTGTGTTTAATTTTGGTTTATGTTTTGGGAAAAAGTAAAAGTTCGATTTCCTTGTGAAATAAAAATACAAAATCATTAGTGTGTTTTCCTTGTGCGCTTTTGCGGTTTTGTTTAAATTCCGGTTGTTGAATTTTCATTTCTGTAAAATTTTTCAGCATAATTTTTTTAATTAACTACTTTATTTGAAAATTAGTTTTTATTTATTTTGTTGTTAGTTATTTCCATTAATTTCACTTGTCGATTTTGTGTTTAATAATTATGAAGAGGGGTTCTTACTTTTTTCCATGCTTTCTTTAAATTGGTACCTTTGTGGTTGTTGAAACTTTTAATTTGTATTCATTTAAATGTTAACTGTAAGTTGAACATTTAACGGGTAATTAAATTTGTAATTTGCATGTTGCATCGCTAGAAATACATAAAGAAAAATTAAATTGTGTTTTTAATAACTTTCATAAATATTTTATATAATAATAATTTTCAAATTAATTTTAAAAGCTTAAACTCTATATTTGACCATAGCTCTCTCAACGAAAATGTAAAGACAATTTAAATAATCTGTTTAACTATAACTTATCAAAATTCAAAGCTAGAACTTACAGCATCCCTTGTTGATTTTATGTCTCCCCAGCAAAACAAGACGTGCAAAAAAAGTAGTAAATGCATGGGTTGAACTGATAATGAACTGGTTCATATTTAGGGCAAACATGCATGATTTTAACATTAGCGTGTCATTGGCATGCATGGGTTCGTATTTGCAAAAATAGTTCGTCATTTAAATGAGTTCTTATAACCGATGAATATTCGATGATTCTCAAGCGAATTTTCATTGGTGCACTATATTTATTTAAAAATGCATTAATGGTATTTCGATTTAATTATCAATATTTAAATAATTTTTTTGCGTGATATTGATAAAAATAGAATAAGATAAAACATAACTAACTGATTTTGATTGGATTTAAATTCATGCAGAGGAAAAATACCCATTGTGTTTTAAAATCCGTTAAGCAGTCTTGGTTTTTTCCTTCTCTTATTAATCTACTTAATATTACTAATTTTAATGGACTTAATATTACTAATTTTAACAAAAATCTAATAAAAAATTAATGTAATTTTTAATCTTTATTGTATGAAATGCACGTTTTCGTTAAATCTCCTAAGAGAATACCAAATTACAGTAAAATATTACAATTCCTATAGTGGAGTTACATGAGTGAATTTGGGTTCATTTTTCATGCTTTCACTGATGACAAATTTATTAGAATTTAGGCATGTATTTAAAACGCATTAAATAGAATACTTACTAAAGAAATCATGAATCTTCTTTAACAACTTCAAAATTTTTTTGCTGGGTCATTAGATGAAGTAGTTCTTTATTTATTTCTTAAAATATGCCAACTCAAAAATATTGATTTTATAAAAGTAAATTTTCGGGTGATTTACCTGATTTAAATAGTAAAGTAATGGATTTAAATAGTAAAGGAATGGATAAACTAAATTTTTACCAACCACACAACAAAAACTGGGAAATAACTTGTAGTTACATGACTACTACTTACCGCCTTCCATACTTTTAAGAACTCTTATAAGTCATTATATATAATCCGATACATAAGTACTTTATTTTGAGTTTTTTTCGTTTTATTTAAACATTTTATTGAATTTTATTGAAATTGCTAGCGAAACTTTTTTACACACACAGAAATAAAATATTTTTTTCCGTGTTAAAACCATTATTGGACGCACAATAAAATACATACATTACGTAACTACATCCATATGTAACTATATAAACGACTTTAGAACGGAGCATATTTTTACTCAAAAGACGTAAAATTAATTTTGGGTTGAAGATTCTAAAGGACGTCAATTTTTAAATTAAGTTTAGATAAATTCATTATGTATTTTCAAAAGAGTTTTTGAGTAATTTTCTTAATATATCAAAAAAGATATCACCAGAGACAACGAAAACTTTAAAGGCAAAATATCTCCTTATTTTGACCTAACTTTTGAAAACGGATTGACCCAATATTAAGTTTACGTGCATCTGCGTTTTTCTGTGTCATTTTCACATACTTAGAGAGTAATTAATAATAATAACAATTTGATAAAATGACCCACACATCAGCAATATTGTAAAATTTTTCCGGGATTGAAATTTTTTGTTATCAATTTCCGGAAATGAAAAAAATGTGGGAAATCTCCAGATACGCTACAGCCTCGATGGAAAGAATCGTCCAACTTTAATTTTCTTATGCAATGTTCATATTAATCGTTTTAATATTTATTGCTTAACAGCTAACGTTAATTATCATCTCATTCTCACTTAATTGAATTTTCGTCCCTTGGTTCTTTTAGTATAAACTTTTACGTTTGACCAAAGCATGACATTTACGTTTCAGATGTGTGTAAGAAAACGACTAAAGTTCCTTAAGAAATAAAACGGAATCATGAGTGGTTTATGAAAGTTTTTTTCTTAGAAAATATTACCCAATCGATAAAAGCAAAGAGAAGTAGTTAATGGTCCCAAGACGAATGAGAAGCAATGAAAAGGGCAACAACATGAACTGCAAATATATAATAATGTAAAGCTAAGCTAACAGCTAATTAAGTAAGTTTTCTAATATGTATGTAAGTAGTTTTATTTCTTTTACTTCTCTTAACCTGTAATATATTTAGATGAAATACGTATATATTGGGGTGGCTACCAAATGGAAGTTGCTAATATTCCTGCCGAAAATGGAAAATTTAGTTCTTTATACCATTTCTCGAAATTTTTGTACTGAGGCCAATATTTGATGACCTGGATCAAAGGATTGTTTACATATTTCTTATAAAGAAAATGTACGCAAAGACGTGCACATTTAGTATGTGCGATTACATGAATATTAACATATTTTTAATTTTTATTTTTTTTTTTTTAACTTTTGTTTTTTTTTTTATTGTTACGTAGTGAACACATTAACCATTTTCATAATATATTGGATTTCTGCCTTTCAACAAATAGATATGGGCATTTCCACCGAAAAGTCTACTTTTGTCACATCACGTCACGTACCGTTAACTGCTTATATCTAGGCAAAAAATATACATATTTTTAAATTGTTTATATTTTTATGGAGAGCTCTAATAGCTCTATGCATAGGATGAAATAGTGACCAAACAAAAAGAATGGCCCTAAGATATTGATAATTAATGTGCGTGACGTGATGTGACAAAAATATACTTTTCGGTGTAAAAAAATATTGTGTAAAAATCTACAAGGTATCATTTCCAAAAGAGTACGTTGACATGTATTTAAAATCGGTACTTTAGGATTACCAAATATTTTTAAACCAAAGGTAAATATGCACAGATATATTACACACCTATTCGAAATGTAAAAAAATATTGTGTAAAAATCTACAAGGTATCATTTCCAAAAGAGTACGTTGACATGTATTTAAAATCGGTACTTTAGGATTACCAAATATTTTTAAACCAAAGGTAAATATGCACAGATATATTACACACCTATTCGAAATTACGGGTATTAGTATTTAAACTTAAATGTTAACAAAGGAAGACTTTATTCCACTTGTTCAGCCATCTAATCGTAATTCATCCGTGCACGGATCTGATTCAATGAAAATCCAATAACTTTATGGTAATTTTTCGATCGTTAAATGATGCTTTTAGAACTGAAATGCTTTAAAATTTTCTATGTTCTCATTTTATTCATTTATATTTTTACAACTTAAATTTTTCATTTCATTTTAATATAAAAACTATTTATCTAAAAACTATTTATATACGTTTAATTCACTCCAGAGTACTCTGGAGTGAATTAAACACCTTTTACTGAATTTTTGGGATATACATATGTATGTACATTGTACATACATATATTGAATATCTAACAATTTTGTTTAAATATATACATATGTAAGTTAAATTCTGCTCAAATTGTAATGATTCAATAAAGAATTGCGAATCCAAAAGTTAATATTCTCTACTAAAACAAGTAAGAATGTTATATTCGGCTATGCCGAATCTTATATACCCACCATCAAACCTCGTTTGACTCGAATGAAACTTACTTATGTCGAATTTCATCTATATACTCGTATTTTGTAGGCCAGTTATAAGCGTTAAAGTAATTTTCTGAAGGGGACCTTATATAGGGGGGTAGGGTTAATTATGGGTCGATCCTCATAAAATTTTGTATACAGAATTTGGTTCGTATTAAATTTATTTCTGTCGAATTTCATCGCTACACTCGTATTTTTAAGCCATTAATGAGCGTTGCAGTCACTTTCTGAAGGGGACCTTATATGGGAGGTAGGGTCAATCATGAACCGATCCTCATAAAATTTTGCATAGTGATTTTGGATCACTATGCCCCCACTTGTATGGGGGCTATCCGAAAACGTGGACCGATATTGCCTATTTTCAATACCAAACAAACCTTACCTATAAGAAATATTTATGTGAAATTTCAACCCTCTAGCTCTTTCCATTAGGACTCTATCGTGCTTTCGACAGACAGACGGACAGATATGGCTAGATCGTCTTAGAATTTAATGAGGACCTTTGTGGGTCTATGACCAATATTTCGATGTGTTACAAACGGAATGACAAAATCAATATACCCCCCATCTTTTTTGATGGTGGGTATAAAAATATCAACATTTTTAAATATCCATTATCAAACATACTATACAGATTTGCAGTCAATAATGCGTATAGTTAAAAAATGTAATTCAAATGAAACCATTTATTTTGCGATCAAGGCCTCTATAATTTTTTATTACTTTGAAATGCCCGCAAAAAATTGAAATATCCTTCATTTATTATGTATAATGTGTTGTAATTAATGACATGTCACTATTTCAATGAAAAGCTTAATTCTTTAGACATTTCGAATGTATTATATACATGTATAAAAGAGACAATATATGTATAAGATACAATTGAAATTCAATTATGTTTGTCATCATTAGCAACAAAGTTTTTATACCCTTCACCACCATATTGAGGAGAGTATTATGCTTTTGTGCTGATGTTTGCAACCAAACATACAAAATTTGGTATCCAGATAAAATTCAACACAAGTATATTTTCGAGCATACTTTCTGGATTTTTTCTGATTAAGAAATTATTTTATATTTACACTAAAAAAATGTTCTGAAATATTTGACAAATATAACGTGATCATAAAAAAGCTAAAAGCCACTTTTCACTACATATTCATTCGAATTTTAACTCATTATTTTAACACGACAAGTACTTAACATGCTCGCTTACAAATGACTTTCTTATATAAGTACTTACAAATAGGGAGTTAAAAAGTTGTTTTGTTTTAAAAACTAACAAAAATTGCTCACACAGAATACTAACCTGGGATTATTGTTCGTTAGTTCACTGTCATATGACCCTGCCGCATTTTGTAATAACATAAATACATTTTATGTAAAAGTAAATCCATCCGCCAAATTTTATAAGTGTCGGTCCATATTTTCCCCGAGCCCTCCATATAAAGCCTCTTTCAGAAAATTAGATTTTCATCAATCAATTGCTTAAATATTTACTTCTTATAAAATTAAATAAATTTCAAAGTATGTAGTTTCGATTTTGTAACATATGTATATTTAGCATTTCATATAAAATTATATTAATTACACATTAACTTCTATTTAAACTATTTAAGAGAATATCATTAAGGGTTTTCATTTAAATGTTCAAAACCCTCGTAAACTGTTCAACCTGTGCATGTTTCCATTCTCGCAATTGAATTGTATGAAAATTGATTTGCACAACCCTTATAAGTTTGAGCGACTATTTAGACTGGCAAACTTGAGCAAACTCATCGTGCATTTAATAAATCTGTTCACTATTGTTCACTTTTGAATTTATGGACTTGAATACTAAAATTTTTAACATATTTTGTACAATTTTTTGTTAAAATAATTTATTTTTTTTTTGATTTCGTTTGACATTGTTGTAAAATATTTATAAATATTGTAATTGAACAGAATTTGAACAGGGGTTTCATGAAACAAGTCGAATAAACTTGCCCACTTGCACAAATGGGAAACTTAAGCGTTTAAATGAAAACCCTTATTATTTTTCCTGTTGTTGAAAAATATTGAATAATACTGACAAATTTATTTTTGGCTATTTTTTAAAAAAATATTTTAAATAAACTTTGCAATAAAGATTTTTTGTCAAGTGACTCACCAAGAAATTGTTATATTGAGATTTTCGTTATATTGAAGTTTGACTGTATTTGTAAGTTATTATTTCCGGGATTCTATTTAAAAATGTCAAATTTCGATATTTATAAATTCCGCTACGGCTCTGGAGTTTTGAGGTGCATTTTGGATGGATTTAGCAAAAATATTTCCATTAAATAATTACATTTGTTTTTTATTGTAAAGGAATCGTAATGTACATTATAAGCATTTCAAAAAGATACAAAACATAAAAATTTATTGAAAATTAAAAAAAGATCACTTTAATGAGAAATGTCACAAAAAAAGTACTCTTTTTGGGAAAAATTTTAATAAATTTTTTACGATTTCTTTAATTTGTCCATAAAACCCCATGATATCTCTAACTGAGAACAGATTTACATCATCTTATAATAACCCAGCAAAAAAGAACTTTAAAAAAAGCGAAAGGGAGTAGAAGTTACTCCATGGAATTACTGAAAAGAACTGAAGAAGTTATGATTTTAATATTCCAAATTCACTACATTTGTACGTTCTTTTTTTTAGAAGTTATTTGGAAGTGAAATTGTAGTATTATGGAATACAACTAATTTGACTTAAATAATTATAACATTAATAAGTGAATAGACACATTTAATACAAAAGCCCAAAAATAACATTTTTTAATTCATAAAAATGTAAAAACAAAACATATATATTTAGCATTGAAAAAATAGAACTATTTTCGCTTCTTCCGAAGTCATTAAACACCACAGAAGGTAAAAAAATTTTACTTTTGAAGTGGTGATAAATGTTATTCTTTTGGAAGTACTTCGTTTTATTTTTGCTGGGAACATAAACTCATATTCGAGTAATTGTATATATTTTTATGCAACATCATTAGTTTATTAAAATATTTCCCAAAAAAGTAAAAGTAAGTGCTGTGAGGCACGATAACTGCCTGAAGAATTTTCAATAACTTTTAAATTTTTTACCCAATTTTTGGATGTGGACCTCATTCTGAATTTCGGTATTTATTGTATCCAATTTGCATATTTTCATAACTAAGTTCCTAACAGCAAATTATAACTCAAAATCATGGTTTCTAAGTTTTTGAAAATCGGTCATAATTGGACTACGAGCCCTATGTATAAATCGATTATAAATGTATGTGTCGAAATAAAATTTCACACAAATCAGTTTCATTTCTGAAAATGGTTTTAATTTATCTTAAATGTTGCTATCAACATAATGTTTAACATAACGTATTTCAATACATACTTACAAAAAAGTTGTCGAATTCTATGTTAGACTTACCAATTCTATTGTATGTATGTGTGTATGTACAATGTTTGTACTATTCAAGTACTCAAATGTAAATTTTGTGCACCATCAGCTGAACTTGTGTATTTAAACATATGTTTCTTCATACTCATCTGTGTGTAAGTAATCCTTAATTGTTCTGCAACGCGAATGACCAGAATACAAAAATCCTAACTCCACGACACACATACATGTGTTTAAAAATATGTTTGATAATTTTTGGTATGAATGTACTTTAGAGCTCAATATGTATACGGATGCATCTATTTCTTATGTATTATGCACTTGTAGGAAATAAGACTTATTTATCTATATGTGTACTAGATTTAGTTTTCCCTGTATCCACAATTTACAATTTGAAATAAATTACACATATTACAGATTACACAATTCTTTAACAAATTTTTTCACAAAACTTTTTTCTATTCGCATATTTTTTTTGCGGTTGCATGTATTATGTACTTGCTAAAATTAAAATTTAACACCATTCTTTTTGAATAACATTATTAATAATTAGATTTTTATATTGCAAATTGTTGAACTTAAAATATATAATATCATTTTTACCGCCAGTACTTTCTTGAGTGAATCTGCGTTCGAACCGTTTTGTTTCAATGTCAAAAAGGAACTGTCGTTTAAATGTTTGCAATTTATGTGCCAGCAGAACAGACTAAACAACTGTTCCGGATGTCGTTGGTTCGTTCATTAACAAAGCTATTACAGACTGGAACTTCCAATCAAGTTCAAAGCTGCATATACAATTTTGGAAAGTTCACAGTGATTTCCTCCATACCCAGATAAAAATTATTATATATGGATCATATGCAGACCAAATACATGGATTAAATTCGATTGACAATATATGCCATATATTCAGCATATACGGAAAATGTTAATGAAATAAATATACTTAGTATGTACATACAATATTGACAAATAATTGTAAGACAAAAATTAAAAATGTGAAAATACGTTCAGTATTATCGATTTTTTGAATTTACCGAACTACTACTACTAGCAATGTTTTTGTCGAAACGAATCACTGTGTGATTTACACATTTAAAAATAGAGGAAGAAATTTTTAAAATTGGAAGAATACTGGTGGGCGCCAAAACGGCTGACAGCACTGGAATCTGTAGATGATTAACAGTAACATACATACGTACATATGTATATGTATATATAACAGCTGTTTTCAGTTATTATTCACGAACGTAATCTTAAATAGTCTGATTTCATGTTTACTATAAGACTGTCATAATTAAAAGATTGTTACATATTATCCAAAATTTTTTGTATTTCAATACAAAATTTCAAATATTTTTGTGAAAATGTGTAACAATTATAAATAACCCTGCAGGAAATGGAACTAGTACAAAAATCATCAGTAATAGTTCCCAACTGTAAACTTTCCTATACCATCTTAATGCTTTTATGCGAAATGTTTGAAAATTGTATTTTAATAAGTATGTAATTTTAAAATTTTTTAAATTTCAACTTCTTCTAGTTCTAGTATTTTTCCTTAAAAACTCTAATCCCCTTTGTACTAGTGTCTGATGTTCTAGTATTACTAGTACTTGTGTCATATAGACATTTATTGCTTTATTTCCTGTAGGGATATTTAGATATTGAACAGACCTACATATAATTTAATAATGAAAAAAAATAATTCTAATAAATTGTCAATAAAATTGTAAATGAATTGTACACTGAAAAAACTGAAATGTGATTTCAATTACCAAAATCTCGCTTTCAATTATTTTTATACCCACCATCAAAAAAGATGGGGGGGTATATTGATTTTGTCATTCCGTTTGTAACACATCGAAATATTGGTCATAGACCCACAAAAGTATATATATTCTGGGTCCTCATTAAATTCTAAGACGATCTAGCCATGTCTGTCCGTCTGTCTGTCTGTCTGTTGAAAGCACGATAGAGTCCGAATGGAAAGAACCAGAGGGTTGAAATTTATAATATTTCTTATATTTCTTATATGTAAGGTTTGTTTGGTATTGAAAATGGGCAATATCGGTCCACGTTTTCGGATAGTCCCCATACAAGTGGCCCCTCGAAAAGCAGCTTTAACAGCCATAACTTGTTTAAAAATACGAATATAGCAATGAAATTCGACATAAGTAAGTTTCTTATGATCCAAAATCACTATGCAAAATGTTATGAGGATCGGTCCATAATTGACCCTACCCCCCATATAAGGTCCCCTTCAGAAAATGACGGCAACGCTCATTAATGGTTTAAAAATACGAGTGTAGTGAAATTCGACACAAATAAATTTAATACGAACCAAATTCTGTCTACAAAATTTTATGAGGATCGACCCATAATTAACCCTACCCCCCTATATAAGGTCCCCTTCAGAAAATTACTTTAACGCTTATAACTGGCCTAAATCGACACAAATAAATTTAATACGAACCAAATTCTGTCTACCAAATTTTATGAGGATCGAACCATAATTGACCTACCCCCCTTTATAAGGTCCCCTTCAGAAAATTACTTTAACGCTTATAACTGGCCTAAATATACGAATATATAGATGAAATTCGACATAAGTAAGTTTCATTCGAGTCAAACGAGGTTTGATGGTGGGTATATATGTAAGATTCGGCATAGCCGAATATAACACTCTTACTTGTATTTATTGAAGTTCAACCTAAAAGGAAAATTGTATATTCAATTAATACTTACTTACTTGTTTTTGTTAAATACGTTTTTGATCGTACATTTTTTTGATTCAAATATGTACAAATTAAATTGAACCCTTTTCAAATTTTTGATTAATCGTTTAATCGAAAATTTTTTTAAATTAGTTTTTTCTGTATATGCTCAAAAAGGATTTAAACAACAAAATACGAAAAAAAGGCATAATTAAGTTTGACTTTGGGCTTCAATTATTGTCATAAAACAATGGAGGGTTTAAGTTAACTTTTTCGTTTTTAGTTGAATTTTAATATAAAGTTTTATTTTTCTGTAAGTTGTTATTTTAGTGACGGAGCTTCGAATCGAAATGCAGAATACCAAACTTGCCAAACATTCCGTAGAAGCATTTATAGGTATGTATGTATGTATGTATGTATGTATGTATGTATGTATGTATGTATGTATGTATGTATGTATGTATGTATGTATGTATGTATGTATGTATGTATGTATGTATGTATGTATGTATGTATGTATGTATGTATGTATGTATGTATGTATGTATGTATGTATGTATTGTATGTATTATGTATGATGTCGGATGTCTGTAGTATTATGTAATGTATGTATGTATGTATGTATGTATGATGTATGTTGTATGTATGATATGTATGTATGTATGTATGTATGATGGATGTATGTCTGTATGTAGTATGATGTATTGTATGTATGATGTATGTATTTGTATGTTGTAGATGTATGTATGTATGTATGTATGTTTAAGTTTACAAAAAGAAAAAAAATATTATCTGAATTATTATATAATTCTCTGTATTAATTTTAAAATCAAAAATTTCTGAAAAATTAAATAAATTTAAAATTTTGCCAGAATATGAAAAATATTGAATCCTAAAAAGGACAAAACAAAAATGTTAAAAAAGAAAATGGATTTCGACAAATATTTCTTCCTGAACTTTGAGGATTTTTAATAAAAAAACAATACATAAACAAAATATCCAAAAAAGAAAAATTTTAAGAAATTTAAAATTTTGGCAACAAATTTTCAATAATTTTTATTATTATTGAAATATTCTTGATATTTCCTAATATGAAGAGTACTAAAAGTAAAACTTTTACTTGTATTTTGTTATAGTAATAAAAACAAGAACAATTTTTAGCTGTTGGAACCGAAACTGTTTTTATCTATCACCCACAATTTTCTTGCTAAATGGCTCATATATTAAGGACATTTTATATAATTATAAAAATGTATTTACGTTAAAGGTTTAATTTCTATTTTCTCGATGTCTTCATTATATATTTATCATAAGTTTCATTTAAATCGGTTGAAAACAAAAAAGGTTTTTATATAAAATGCATAAAAGCAAGGAATAAAGGCAACTTTTTAAAAATATTATCAAAAAATAGTTTTCTCCGAAATCCTCAATCAAACTATAATATTTTAAATAAAATATTGTCAAAACCTGTTCCAAAATTTTTGAGCAAGAAATAACAGTTTAACTCGAAAATCTAGAAAACGTTGTAATAGGAATGGACATTTTCAGTAAGTTTTAAGATATGTATGTTAATGGCATACATAACTCAATATGTTCTTATGTCAATTTAGACGGTTATTTCATATGAAAAGAGAATTATTCGGTGTTTACTATTAAATGCGCATGTCCTTGATAAATAATTGGAAAAATAGTTCCAATAAAAACGAACTGTTGCTTTGTTGACATACATACATAACTTAGTAGAAGAATATATATCTAACATTTGTTTTTTCAAAAAATATTTTTCATTTTCTAGTATAATTTTGTGGAATTCACTATTCCCAAAGCTTGTTTTTTTTTTTTTTTTTTTGATTTGTCAAATAATAACTGCTTAAAACATTTTGAAATTCTTCATTTCATTTTAAAAACGATCAAATGTGGATTAATTTGGAGTGATTCTTGTTATGTCACTATGAAGGAAAGGTTTTCTGTAGTTGTTCAATCCTGATGATATGAAGCTTTACAACTAAGGTTAGGGAATTTCCGTTTTTTTTTTTAAATAATGTAATTTAAGTAAAAATGAATTCATAACTATAATAACAAAATTTTTTGCTAAAACTATTTAAATATAATTCTATAAGATTCTATAAGAACTCTATTTAAAATCAGCAAAATCGAAAGAATCGCAAATTAATTTGTTTGGTTGGAGGCCGTGGGCTCGATTCCCAACTGAGGCATTGGTAAAGCAGCATATAACAGCCCGATAGAGGCCTAGGTGTATTTCTTCGAATTTGATGTTGTATATATGTACATCCATCCTTTCAAACTAAGTATGTACATACGTCATTCATAAACTGTTAATATATAGCTTATTCAAGCAAACTATTAGAATTTTAATTTTTTATAGAAATTATAATAGCATCAGAATGGGCGACGTGCGAGCTGTTATGATTTACACGTATTCTTTATATATCATGACCCGCTATTGAAAATTTATCTTGTATGAGACGCACATTCTATGTATTAAATATTCCTTGGTACCACGCATAATAAGCGATATATTCTTTAAAAACTGAATTTTGTAATATTTGTCCTTATTAATAGTGTTAAGGAGAAGCTATTGCCAATTTTCATTTAGCTATCTAATTTTACACAAATATTCTCTGTTGATCAGTTTTGATATTGAAAATGGGTGAATCGTTTAACTAGAAAAAAATTAATAATAAAATAAATGTCCGCCCGTCCGCCGTTTAAAGCAAGAGCCTTATGAGCCACAGAATATTATAAATTTAAATATTATCTTAGCCACAAATCCTGTACCCCATTGAGAAAATTGGGGTAAGGGATTTAATGGTGAGTGTATCGGCCGAATTTTTATTTTTATGTTACTTAAAAAAATTAAATTATATTGATTCTTTTGCTAATTCATTTTAAAATTTAAAAAATTTTCCC